TTTCCATGAGATGAGAAAAACCCAATTTTTAACATTGTTACTTGGAGTCTCTTTATCAGTATTCTCAATCATAATCTTCTTCATCTTCTGGAGAAGAAAACAATCATCATCAACTGAATCAGATCAATACGACGTCGAATCATCTGAAAATAACAACAAACAGAGGATACTCTTCTCCTCAGAAACAGAGCAACTCGTAACTTTTCACGGCGGAGAAGATCTCACGATCTCCGATATCCTCGATGCTCCCGGAGAAGTCATCGGAAAATCAACCTACGGTACTTTGTACAAAGCTTCTTTACAACGTAGCGGCAAAATTAGGGTTCTTAGATTTCTTCGACCGGTTTGTACAGTGAGATCAGATTCTAAAGAGTTTAATGGCGTCATCGAGATGCTTGGATTCGTTCGACATGAGAATTTAGTTCCTTTGTTAGGGTTCTATGGTGGAAACAGAGGAGAGAAGCTTATGGTTCATCCTTTCTTCGGTTCTGGGAATCTTTCCGACTTCATCAGAAGTAAGTCTCTGTTTTTTTTTTTTTCTATTTTCTCGAGAAAATGTAGGAAAGTGGTTAGAAAATATTAAAAAAGTATCAAACTTTTTCTTTTCTTCGACCAAAAGTAAAGGACTTTAGCTTTTTTAACCTCCATGGAATCTCGTGGTCACTTGTTATTTGGATTTTCCCGGGAAACAAACAGAATCTTGATGATAGTCATGGTAATATAACTTTCGTATAAGAAAAGAAAATTAAAATGTGTTGTTTATATTCGGAAGAGAAACACACAGCTGGAATTAAACACATTAGGTGGATCATTCAATTCAATGTTCATTATTTTTGTCTTAAATATTAGTATTTGTGTGTGTAATAATCTTTGTTTTTTGTCGGTACTATCTTTGTTTTTTTTTTTTCCTTTCTTTCACTTTCAACTTCATTAAGACAAATCTTGAAAAAAAGTTGGTTTCAAGAACATTAGTCTCTAGCAAATTACTAGACTAAAAAATAAATTACATTTTGTTTTTGTATGGTAGGTGGAGATGTTGAATCTATGAAATGGAGCAACATTTTAAGCATCACTATTGGAATATCAAAAGCTATTGATCATCTCCATACAGGAATGCAGAAATCAATCGTCCACGGGAATTTGAAATCCAAGAACGTTCTTCTATTGAATCCGAGTTTCGAACCACGAGTCTCTGATTTCGGTTTGCATTTGCTCTTAAATTTAACGGCAGGACAAGAGATTCTTGATGTTTCAACAGCTGAGGGATACAAAGCTCCTGAGTTGATAAAGATGAAAGAAGTTAGCAAAGAGAGTGATGTGTATAGTCTTGGTGTGATCATGCTTGAGCTTGTCTCTGGTAAAGAACCGATAAACGAGAATCCAACCGGCGATGATGAGTTCTATCTTCCTGATTTCATGAGGAATGCTCTTCTTGATCATAGCTTGTCTGATTTATACCGTCCTGAGATTCTCAAGAGTGATGGTGATAATCTGAGTGAAGAATGTGTACTCAAGTATTTTCAGCTTGCAATGTCTTGTTGCTCTCCTTCGCCTTCTCTTAGGCCAAACATTAAGCAAGTCTTGAGGAAACTCGAAGAGATCAAGAAATGTTAGAAGGACTTGAGAATGATATAAATCTTTTACATAGGGATGAGTTTTACAAAGAAATTGTTCGATTGTTTCGCTTTCC